TCGGAATACGTGCAATCACGATGCTGACGATGATGACTATGACGATGACGGTGACGATGATGATGCTTTGGTTCATGAGGGTGATGACGATGATGATGGTGATGATGATGATAATGGTGGTGGTGATACTGATGATGATGGGGATGCCCGCCAGCCCCCACTACACGTTCTCCGGAAACGCCTCCCTGGACCACGTAGACCTACGATGACGACGACGAGGGCGATGACGACGATGACCAGGAGGATGATGGGGATGATGATGACGACGGCGATTATGAAGGTGATGAAAGTGATGAGGAGTAACCCAGCTGCCTCTTGCATTGTTCAGTCTCTGTCCCTCGAGCCTGCGCATGTCCTCCAAACGTCTGCGCCAGGAATGTTATACATGCGGCCTTCGGCCACGTGTGCTTCCGGGATCGGGCGGGATGCGTCTCAGGATCGCCCCTGCTGCCGCAGTGGCCTGCTTCCGTATCTCACCCGCCTGGCCTTTCCTTGCCCCAAAACAGATGGCCAGGACGACGACGCGAGCTGGGTGCTTTAACAATTTGATGCTTAGCAGAGTCGGGGATGCGGACGCACTCGGATGCCAGCCCGTCTCGGTCAGTGCGCTTGCCATCTGACGCTACTGCGCTCAAAGTTTGCCCAATGCCATCCCACAGCCTACTTTGCTCTCTTTGTTTGAGGGCGGGGGGCGTCACAGGGCCGCCCCTGCTGCCGCAGTGGCCTGCTTCCGTATCTCACCCGCCTGGCCCTTCCTTGTCCCAAAGCAGATGTCCACGGCGACGATGCGAGCTATATGTATATATATACACATACACACACCTATGTATATGTATGTATGTATACATATACAAATATGTTTGCATGCGTGCATGCATGTGCGTGCATCTTTACGTATCTACGTATGTACGTATGCAGGTTTGCATATTTATGTGACGCATGTATATATGCATGCATTCATGTATGTATGTATGCCTATTGGCATACATGTATGCATGCATGTATGCACGTACGCATGTATGTGGTTATGTCTGTATACATGTTGGTATGTGTATGTGAATGTGTGTGTGTTCCGTATACGAATTTGTATGCATCTATGTGCGTGTGCGTGTTTCTTTGTTTGTATGCATGTCAGTGTGTGCATCGAAGTGGGCCAGGACGGGGGGCCAGGCAGCGCCTTGGGTTGGCACGGGGGCCTCGGCGGCTCGTGGGGGCCCGGAGTTCCCGGGCAGATGGAAACGCCACACTGCGGCTGGGCCCATTTGCTCACCACCCACCAAACCACCCCAACCCAACCCGAAGGCTCAGATTTGCCCTCCATTTCCAGTGGGGGGGGGGGGGGCGCGGAACATCGAAAAAACACGTATGGAACCCTTACCCCCCCCAACCCGAAATTCGGGTCTTCGGGTTGGGTTGGGGTGGTCTGGTAGGTAGTCATTTGCGTTACCCGAGACGCCACACGACGGTCCGACAACGCGCCAAGAGGCCCCGAGGAGCTTCCCAGGAGGCCTCCAAGGGCCCCCCCAAAAACCCCAGGAGGCAAAAGTCAGCGCATCCTTTTGGGGAGCTCCAGCATTTTCAGCAGATTCGTCTCTCTAGTCTTGACAGTTTCTAAGACCGTCCAAGAGGTGTCCAAGGAGGCTCCACGACCGCTTGCGAGGCCCCAAGCACGGTTCATGGAACCCCCAAGAGGGCCTCAAGAGGGTGCCACAGCGGGGCGTGGGGCATTATCTTGGGGGGTGCGGCCCCCAACGTTCCCCCAACATTTTCTGGGAAGCCTCCAGGATGCTTACCAAAGGCCTCCAGAGGCTCCCGAGATGCACCGGACACGCCCCCCAGATTCCCCAAGAGTCCCGCAAGAGGTCCCAGTGTGCTCCTTGTATATTTTCAGGATGCCCCAGGAGGCCTCCCAAGAGGCCCCCAGCAGCGTATAAGACGTCTCGCGTTTACATCCCGCACATCGTGCCCAGAAAGGCTTACCATCCATTTCAGGGCTGCAAGAGGCCACTGGTAAACACGCCGCAAGGCCCCAGGCCAGGCGGCACCCAAGACGCCCCGACTTCACGGTCCAGGTCAGGGGTGTGCCAACATGGGCGGCCTTGCGAGATGCGAACCTTGGCTCTGTCGGTTGAGCTCCCTGTGAGGAGACACTCGAAATACACAGGGGAACGTGACGTTATGCGACTTCCCCCGCCACGTGAAGCGACATCCCTCTGGGGCACGATCCGTGTGGAAGGGTGTGCCGAGATGGGGGGGGACTCCATGTAAAGTTTGTCCGTGGATCCGAAAGTGGAGCTCACGGGGGGGACGATCCGTGTGAGATCTTTGTCGAAATTGGTGGGGGGACGCTTTGTGAACCCTGCCTTCCTCTGGGGCCGTAGGTTTAGGGCTTTCCCGTGACTTTCATGTTCAAATCATTTGTGGGTCATGACTTGAGCGGATCTCTGACCGAGTCGCACCACCCACTGAAAGTTATTGGTGATGAGGAGGAAGACGAGGAAGGAAGCGAAGCAGGTTCTTTAGACCACTTTTCAAATATTTCCGAGTCTCTGCGCTGAATTCGCATCGGAAAGAGAGAGAAAGCGGGCGCGGGGCAGACAGGGACGCCGGGGCTTGGTGAGGGCTCCCAGACGCTGCGCATTTTATACATATGTACATACGTATACATTTATTCATTATAGTTCCCACGTGTGTATAGTTATGTATATGTATATGTATGTTCATACGTATTTGTATATGCGTAGGCATGTGTACATGCATGTGTATGTGTATGTGAATACGCATATGTACATGTATATGCGTATATATAAACATATATGTGTGCATATTGTGTCTATGTGTTTGTATACGTATATGTACATGTACAGGTGGATATATGTATTTGTGTATGTCTATGAACGTGTCCGCGTATATGTAATTATATATGTATATGTATGTGACTATGTAGATATATATATATATATATGCATGTGAGTAGGCACATGAATATACATATATACATATATATATATACACGTGTATGTATATGTTTGTGTCCATGCATATTTTTATGTATGTGTATATGTGCATATGTACATGCATATGTATATGTAGACGTATGTGTATATGTATATGTGTATACATTTCTATATGCATATGTACACGCGTATGCATATGCATGGGTATGAGTATGTGTATTCGCGTATATACACATATATATATGGGCAGATCGACGTATATGTAGATGTATATATACATACTTATATATACGTATATGTGTATACGTTCATGTATGTGTATATGTATATGTGTATGCATATGGATATGTTGATGCGCATGATCATGCATCTGTATTTGTATATACATAATTGTATGTTTATGTCTATGTGTAACTATATGTAGATCTGCATGCATGCATGCATACACATAGACTTCGGTGTAAACATGTGTATTTGTATACCTTGGGGTCAGGTCCTGGGCTGAGACGGCCTCCCAGATCACCCCTCCGCCTTTGCCGTCGACATTTTTCACCCCTTCCAGGGCCTCCTGGGCCTTCCCTCCGCCATTGAAAACTGCTGAGGAGGCCGCCGAAGAGTAACCAGAGCCGTCTGACAGGGCCGAAGACGCCCGACTCTTGTTTCAAGACGGCTCCAGAGGCCCCGACGACGTCCTAAGAAGGCTCCAAGACGTGCCCAAGAGGGCCCCAGGAGGCTAATATTATTCCCTAGGGAAACGTACATTTAAGCATATTCGCACTTTGAGTCTTAATAGCGTTTAAAGCGGCCCAAGAGAGAGGCCCCACAGATCGCCCCAAGACGGCCCAATACGCCTCCCTCCTAGAGGGCTCCAGGACGGCCCTCCAAGCGGCGCCCAAGACGGCCCAAAAGGGCCCTAAGAGGAGTCCAAGAGGGGGAACTCCAACTGACATTTCGAGCCCTCTGCCACGAGTGGGCCCCCCGAGGCCGCAGAAGGACCCACGAGACCCCCAAGGGCCCCAAACGAGGCTCCAAGAGGTCCCCCACAGGGCGCACATGCTGCCACAAGAAGCTTCAAACTCGCTCCACAAGGCGCCCGATAAGCATGCCAAGAGAGTCCAGATTACAGGCATCAAATCCTCTGGCCCAAAACTCAGGCACATTAGTGGTATGGGCCGAAGGCCATACATACATACATATATATATATATATATATACACATATCGATATACATGAATCTACACATTTATGCTTATATATACATATATATATAAGCAAGCATCAATCGCCCATTCATCGCCGATGCGGGCCCGAAAGCCCCCACCCCGCCCAGGACCGTGCCGCGTCGCGATCGGGTGCCCAGCGTCGATCCATCGGCGACGTATCGCCGATTCCAGGTCTATGTTTCTCTCCCTAAGCTGCCCCCGCCCCCCTTGACGTTGCCCATCACATGAGGCGCAGACCCCCGACCGTAGAGCAAGCAAGGAACCTTGGCCCTAGAACATTCTAAGGACATTGGACCGGAGCAGGGCCAGAGCAGGACAGGAACCCTGACCCCATAGTCTTGGTTGCAGAGTAAGGGCCTTGCCCGCAGAGCATTCGCCCCCTCAACGGCCAGGTCTGATCAGCAGGTCGGCCCTGCAACATCAAGGGTGCCCTTGTGCCCCTTGTGTCCTGTCTACCGTGTTTCATGGCCTCTTCCTCCTGTCCCCTTCCCGTCTGGAGTTCCGCTTGCCATCGGAAGGGGCTCGCGTTCCGTTGGCTGCCATCTGCCGTCAGTCACTCCTATATGCGGGGCCAGTTTTCCACCCTGAGTTGTTCATGCTTGTGCCTCCATCAGCCCTCGCCGTCCTCCTCTTCCTTACCACTCCTCGACATCCGCTCCGCCCCGACGATCAGAGACGGCTGCGACCGACGACGATCGACGACGACGACGCACGACGACGACGACGACGACGACGACGATCGGCGGCGGTCGACGATCGACGATCGACGATCGACGACGCCACTCGACGATCGGCGCGACGTTCGCGCACCCCGCCGCAGGACCTGCTGGAGGCCCGCAGGTGGTACGAGCGGTCCGCCGACCAGGGCAACCCGGACGGTCAGTACAACTTGGCCTTGGTTTTCGCGCAGGGCTTGGGAGGCTGCCACAAGGATTTCTCTCTCTCTCTCTCTCTCTCGTTCCCTTCTCCCTCTGTCTCCTTCTCTCTCTCTCTCGCTGTCGCTTGTTCTCCATATCCCTCCCTTTCTCTCTTTCTTCCCCCCCTCTCTCTTTCTCCTTCTCTCTCTCTGCTTCTCTCTCTCTATCTCTCTCCCTTTCTCTCTCTATATCTATATATAAAAATGTTTATCTCTTTTATATGTGTATACCCGGGGGACGAGGCCGGAGGGCCAGAAACCGTGGCTTCGACCCTCCATCAAGAGATGCGGTTGGGTTTTGGGGAAGAAGCAAAGGCACCGCTGGACGCATGATGCCACTGTTTGGAATGTTGCTGAGTGGAGCGCGGTGCGCCACTCAGCGAAGCTTTGCACTAGTGGGTCTTGCGGATTCCGTTGCCAAAGCAGCTACATTGCGCGACCCGGTTCGAAGGAAAACGCTACGACGAACACTTTCAACAGCCCAAGTGTGGTAGTTCGCGCACAATTTGGCGTCACATACAATCGATTTTCGCAGATGCGGCACCGCATGTGTCGCGCAGGAACATCGGCGGGAGCTGGAGCAACAGTCATATCGATGTCGTATCCTAGCGTCCGCACTGGTTGCTCCAGTATAACTGGCAACTGTGAAAAGGATGATCAGGAACTAAACGTTGCCATTTTGCAAGCTGTATTTTGTTTCCTGCGTTTGCAAGAGGGAGTTTTTGATTTTGATACCAACGGCCCGGTGCCATATGCTGACGACGTGTTCGACGCAGACAACGCAGGCTTCATGTCCTTTTTCAATGCTGCCTGGGACGACCCTCCGTGGGGGCACCCACGAGGGAAGCTTGACGTCGTGGCCGACCTCAATTTCCAGTGAAATTGCAAGTTTGCGGTGGCAGAAAAGTACGCGAAGACAGATCTCCTTGGACGTCCGAGCGCTGTAAGAAGATGCAGGCCACTGCTAAAGCCAACGGGTGTACAGCGGTCGCGCATATTCCAAACTAAGTGTTGTGCGCTCGCAAGCAGGAAAGCTTCGCGCAGCCGTGAACGCGATGAACCGCGAAAACAAAAAAAACATAACGAAGTTCTCCATGTAGGAGAACTGCTGAATGGTGAGAATGCGGCTTGTGGAAAATGTTTGCCGGATAGAAAGGAAACTAAGGTGATTGTTGGCCAGTCTGCGTGCGATTGCGGATGCGTGGTCGCTGAGAATTTCGACGGGACTTGATGCGATAAGTGCTACTTGGAGTGATATCGCAGCAAGCAGCGCACGTGCAATACTCCGGTCGTTGTTCGCATGACGACATTGAACACTCAAGCGGCGGAGCAGTTGTGGTCGCGTTTGGACAAGGTGACCTGGATAAACGTGATGGAGTACGCGCGCTACCGGTGCTTCCTGCGCCGTTACTGCTCATGGCGCAACGCGTTCGCAGCGGGGCATTCCAGAAGGGATTGCCAAGGTCCGTGCACGTCGATCAAAAAACAAGAAATGCACTCCGAATCACAAGCGGTGAAAGCGCTTCGCGCAGCGATGGGCTGATATTCCATGTTGGCCACCTGGGGGCCAGATGCGTTTGTTTTTGTTTGTTTGCTTGTGTTTGTTTGTCTGGTTCTGTGCCGAATGATGTGGATGCTCTATGGGTTTCGTTGTCTGAATCGACTGATGGTTGATATCTAGGATCTAGTGATTTTAGTATTTGCCTGCGCGCGGACATAACTCGCCAAGTATTGGTTGAGCGCGTCCGCAGCGGAATGTAGCGCGGCGGCTAGGCGGCCCTCGCTCTACCGGTCGTTGCGCGCAGCGCTGCTTTGCCCGACTCCTCATCAGTTGCCGTTTCTTGTAACCGCCGCGCTCGTCAACTGCAGGGTGGCTGCGCGCAGTTAGGGGCGACGCGCCGACGTGCTCAGACGCGCGCGTTCGTTCGTGATGCGGTCGTGCGTTCTCCTCCTCTTCTTCTCTCTGCCCCTTCTCCTTCTCCTCGTCCTCCGTTTGATCAGCCGGCGCTTTCGTGATATTGTCCTTTCCGTCGTCGTGGATGGCGATCGCAGTCGTCTTTTTTTGTTTTTGTTTTTTGTTTGTTTGTTTGTTTCTTCTCTCCCCCTCCCCCTCTCTCTCTCTCTCTCTCTCTCTCTCTCTCTCTCCCTCTCATTTTTCCTCTCTCTCTCTCTCTCTCTCTTTTTTTTTTTTTTTTGTTTCTCTCTCTCTCTCTCTCTCTCTTTCTCTTTCTCTCTCTCTCTCTCTCTCTCTCTCTCTCTCTCCCCCCCTTGCTTTCCCTTGCCCCCCCAAATTGTTTCCTTTTTCGCTCGCCCCGCGCCCTTTCTGAGGCGGTTCCACGATTCTGCGTTTATTGTTGGTCTCAATGCCCGCTGCCTCTCGGGGCAGCGACCGCGCTTGTTGTTATTTGGCCCGGGGGTGTCTGGCGCGTGAGACGACGCGCCGCGCAATTGCTTGCGACTCAATTGTTCGCCGGGGGCCTGCGGCGGCGGGCGAGCTCGAGCGACGCGCGCGCAATCTGGGCCCTGACTCTTTGCTCGCAATGCGCGTGGTGGGTGCAGATCCCGGGGCGCGCCGGCGAAGGGTGCGCTTGCGTTTTCTGTTGCCGAGAACACGTGAAGCAGAAGGGCGGCGCGGCTGCCGCGCGGGGGGCGTTGTTTGCGCGTGGAACCCGCGTAGAAACTCAGCGACGTGGGTGCCCATGGCAGCGCGGGCGTTTCAATCGCGTTTTCTTTCCGTGCGTGCCGCGTGCCCGACGGCGACCTCGACCGCGACCTGCGCGGGGCGCCCGTTGCTTTCCGACGCCCCCTGGCAAAAGGAATGGCGTCGGCCTAGCGCAGTTCCCAGGGCGGCCAGGCGCGCGTCCAACTCGGCGCGCGAGGCGTCGTTTCGCGCGGCGCATGGCGGCAGCTCTGACCGCGAAAGCGACAGCATAATCGAACGATATGTAGAAAGGTTCCCCAGAAAGGCGCGTAGAGGGCAACGGCTTACGCGGGGAAGAAACGCGGGCATCTCGGCGCCGCAGCGGATCTTCTGTCGCGGAGAGGGCCGCCGCGTCAACTGCCGCGCGTGGAGGCGACGCCTTGCGCCCTGGATTCATGTCGCGTCTCTCGGGTGAAGCATGAACGAGCGGGTGGCTTTTCGGCCCAGTTGCCGGCAATTCTGGCGCTTCATACAGGCGCAGCCCTGTCGCGAATTTCATCGTGCCTCGATTGGGCATTGTCTGGTGGCATTGGGGGGGGCGCCTGAAGGCGCGGCCCAAATTCATTCGGCCAGCCTCGAAGGGCCGCCTTGGCAACGCAAGCTGCCGCCCCCGGGCGTCTGGCGCGGGCGGGAGGTCGACGGGGTCGGTCGCCCAAGAACCGCAAAAAACAGCGTTTTTGAGTGTTTTTTTGCTTGGGTCGCCCCTGCAATCTTTTATTGTTATGGGCGATGGGCCTGTCGGCTACGCGGGCGCGAGCGCGCCCCCGTGAGAGGCTCATGTGGTTGAACAAACGGGTGCTCGGTGAAGGTAATTTGATGGTTGAGTTGGCGCGCGCTGGCGCGCGCTCCCTGGCGAAGGCCCCAATGGCGCGTGGCCGCGGGGAACGGAAGGCGAGGCCGCCGACGCGATGGGGGAGATGTCTCATGGTGGACGGAACGGGGCAAATATTTCGGTGATGGTATGTCTGCGTCAACTCATGGTTGTCGTGTAATTTCTTCTTTGGTTGCGCGCTCATGTCAGCCGATGGTTGGCCTTGCTGTTTCGCGCGCCATCTTTGCAATTAGTTCGCGTGCGTGCGTCGGTGTCGACTGCTGATTGGTCGGTGCGAAAGTCAGCGTTGTCTTAATCTGCGTCAACTGATTGTTGATTCTCATGCGCTCCGCGGTCATCTTTGCGATCCGCGGCGACATGCGTGCGGCGTCGACGTCGTCATCGCCGTCGTGGCAGAAAGCTTGCGCAACCATGGGACTTTTCTGAAGTGCAACCGCTTTCTGGGAGTCGGGAGGGGGCATTCTGCCACAAGAGGAATCCTTGGCGGTATTTCGCCACGAAAGGGGCCTTCTTGCAATCCGCTGCAAAAGGAAGCCCTTTGCATTCTGCCACGAAAGGAATCTTAGCGACACGGGTTACATGTTTGAAAGACCTTTGTTTTCACTGCGTTTCAGGTGTCTTCTAATACAAACATTAGTTTCGCCCGTGCCTGCGGGACGTTTTAGATTTTCCGGTTAAAAATGTTTTTTTTTGCTGCGCAGGCACAGCCAACTTTGCACTCTGGCAAGTTAGCTATCCCGAATAGTGAACATATTAAATATATGTATGTTCGCTGTGTTCGCGCAGCCAAGCAATATTACAACATGTTAAAATACGGTGTAATTAAGCGCACTCGACATCAAACGCATTAAAATACATAGGAATACACTATCTAAGAACCTGTTAAAACGCTGTGGAAGCACATGCGTTGCAATTGTTTAATCAAGTTCAATGACATTCCCCTTGTGGTGGAATCCCAGTTGTGGCGGAATGCAGGGGGATTCCTTTTGTGGCGGATTACAGAAGGTTTCCTTTCTGGTAGCGGGTTACGCAAAAGATTCGTTCTGTGGCAGTATGCAAACGGATTCCTTTTGTGGCAGGGTACAAATGGAAATTCCTTTTGTGGCAGAGTACAAAAGGATTCCCACTGTGGCGGAATATTAATGTATTACCTTTATGACATGCGAAAAGGATTCCTTTTGTGGCACAGTGCAGAAGCATTCCTTTTATAGTGGGGCGCGCGCAATTCTCCCCGCCCCGGTCCTCACCCCGCCCCACACCCGTTTTTTTCCCCGCCCCCCGCGTCCAAAGGGCGACCCCACACCCCACAACGAATGCAGAAACCTTCGTTGTAGGGCAGTTTGGTGAGAACATCGGTCCTTCAATGCCGAGCGTTGCTGGTTACGGCTGGATTCTGTCAAAAATTAAGCGTGCGAATCGCGCGTGGTTTTCAGTATCTTTATATATACGTACATACATAATTACACACATAAATATAGATTTATAGATGTGCATATGTGGAGAGAGAGAGAGAGAAAGAGAGATAGAGAGAGAGAGAGAGAGAGAAAAAGAGAGAGAGAGAGAGAAAGACAGAGAGAGAGAGAGTGAGAAAACGAAAGGTAGAGGGACAGATTTCTACAGAGAGAGAGAGAGAGGGATAAAGAGAGAAATCGAGAGAGAGAGTGGGTTCGCTCTCGCTGTATATCTTCTCCCTCCCCTTTTTATGTTATATCTCTCTCGCTTTCTCTCCATCTCTCTCTTTCTCTTTGTCTTTCTCTTTCTATTTTGTTTTGATGTTCTTTCTCTCTGTGTTGTTGTTAGTTGTTTTAAGGTCCTTTTCACTTTTTTTCGTTCTCTCTCTCTGGCTCTCCCTCTTTCTCTGTGTGTTTCTCTTTCGATTGCATGTTTCCCAGCGGCCACGTTGAGGGCCACGCAACGCGCAACGCAAAGTCACCATCCCATAATTCCTGCGTCACATCGACATCGTGGTCCTATCGCGGTCCGATCGATCACATTCGGTGTCGGTTGCATCCGTCCCGACCTGATTCGATTTTGCTCTTCCGTTCATTTCATCCCAGGCGGCCCGATGTTTGCATGATGTTTTTGTACTTTTTGGAGCGGCCGATTCAATTTGAGTTCGATCCTGTGCCGATGCAGCCCGATTCGATGCAGGCTCCGATCCAATCCGACTTTTCCATCCAATGCCGACGGGCCCTAGCCCTGGCCCGTTGGCGCACCGCACTGGTTTATTGAATCGCTTCGCTCATTCCGCCGGCCCATTTCGCATGACTGAGCCTCTTGGGGCCGCTGGGGGGCCTCTTCAGCGTCGCTTGGGGGCCTCCTGAGGACCTCTTGGGGGCTTTTGGGGCCTTTCAGGGGCCTCTTGAGGCCTCCTGGGGCTTCTTAAGGCCGAGGGCTCGAAGTTTTGTTTTGTGTTCCCCTTTGGGGCATCGCTTGGGGCCCTCTTGGGCCCCTCTTGGGCCATCTTGGATGCCTCTGGGGCCGTCTTGGAGCCCTCTTGGGCCATCTTGGGGCCTTCTTGGGAGCTTCTTGGGCCCTCTTGGGGCGATCTTGGTGGCCGTCTTGGGGCGTCGGGAAGCCGAAAAGATGGACACGCCAAAATCTGCCCAAAACCTAAGGACAAGTAATGAATTTTGCCTCTTGGGGCCCTCTGGGGAGTGCTCTTGGAGGCCTCTTGGGGCGTCTGGGGGCCATCTTGGGCGTCTTGGAACGATCGTGTGGCATCTCGGAGCACTCTTGAACCATCTTGGAGGGCTCTTGGCGGCCTCGTGGCCCTTCTTGGGGCTCTCTGGAGGGCCACGGGGGCGGCGCCCAGGAGGAACACCATCTCTGACCCGACCCTGCCGCCCGGGGTACTTTTCGTCCAGGGACCCCCAGGGGCCGCCCCGCGCGCGCGAAGTAGAAGTATTATTTAGCAGTTACCGGAGATCTTAGCACGCCTCTGGCCCGTTGGGCCGGCGAATTGGGGCTGTCCGAAAGGCCACCACGCGGGGTGCCGTTGGGAGCGTGGGGCATTCCAGATCTGGCGCGTGTGCCCGGCAAACGCTCATTCCCCTCTTTGGCCAGCGCTGCTGTGGACCGAGGGAGGTGTTCAGACCTTCTGATCACCGGCATCTGTAATCTTTTCTGTATTTCCTCGCCCTCTCTCTCTCTCTCGATGTCTCTCTCCGCTCTGCCTGTCTGTCTGTCTATCTCTCTCTGTCTGTCTGTCTCTCTCTCTCTCTGGATCCCGACTGGTATTGGTCCGCAGCAATCTCTCTCGTTTCTTCCTTGTTCTCTCTCTTGGCCTCTCTTGCTCTGTCTTGCTCTCTCCTAGAATCACGGCGGCGGAGGACACGGCAAGGCCCTTTGCGTCCTCGCTGCGGCAACCTGGCGCGTCGCTGGTGCCCTCTGGGTGAGCAGGCGCGCTGCTTAATTATATCCGAGGCCCGAAAACCATCACTTCACTAGTTTTGGGCCCCAGGGCCCACTGAGGCCCCAGGGGCCCCAGATTAGTGAAGTGATGTTTTTCCCACGTAAGGACCCCGAAATTCATCACTTCACTAAATCGAACCCAGGACGGAAGTCAGGGGCCGAATTGCTGCTGTGATGCAACATCGGTCTCGTATTATAGGGATGGACGGCCCCAGCCTCTGCCGCACCTGCTTTGGCATTGCCGTCGCACCCTGTTTTGCGCCCCGAGGACGCCGCTCGCGCCCGGGAGCTCTGCGAGCAGGCCGCCGCTCAGGGCCAGCGGCAGGCGGCCACGCCGGAGTGGCAGGGGTGGAGGATTGGGGAGGAGGAGGAGGACGAGGAGGAGGAGGAGGAGGAGGAGGAGGAGGACGAGGAGGAGGAGGAGGAGGAGGAGGAGGAGGTGGTGGAGAGGAGGAGGAGAAGGAGAGGAGGAGGAGGAGGAGGAGGAGGTGGTGGAGAGGAGGAGGAGGGAGGTGGTGGAGAGGAGGAGGAGGAGGAGGAGGAGGAGGAGGAGGTGGTGGAGAGGAGGAGGAGGAGGAGGCGGAGGAGGAGGAGGAGGAGGAGGACGAGGAGGACGAGGAGGAGGAGGAGGAGGAGGAGGTGGTGGAGAGGAGGAGGAGCAGGAGGACTTAGCGACTAAGCGACCCGGTCGAGCCAGCGCAGACATGGATGACGGGGCGTCGGCCATCGCCGCAATCGGGGCCGCCGTGCGGCGCCCGGCCCTCGCGCGGGGCGTCGCACGGTGACGCTGAGGACGGCAACGGCGACGGCGACGGCGACGACTGCCAAGGCGACCACGACAGTGACGACGCTGACGACGATATCTGGCGACAGTGACGACAACGACGACTACGATACGGCGACGGCGACGGCGGCGGCCACGACGACGACGACGACGCTGGCAGTGCTGACGACGGCGACGACGACCACGCTGTCGACGACGCCAGCGACAACGACGACGACGGCGGCGCTGACGACGATGCTGCTTACGTATGATGACGACATCGACGACGACGACGCTGACGACGACGCTGACGCTGACGACAACGACGACGCTGACGACGACGACGACGCTATCCACGACGACGACGCTATCAACGACGACGACGACGCTGACGACGACACTGCCGCTGACGACAACAATGACGACGACGACGCTGACGACGCTGACGCTGACGCTAACGACGGCGACGCCGACGACGGTGACGGCGACGACGTCGACGACGGCGACGGCGACGGCGACGGCGATGGCTACGGCGACGGCGACGACGACGGCGACGACGACGCTGACGACGACGCTGACGACGACGCTGACGGCAACGACGAGTACGCTGACGACGCTGACGACAAAGACCACGTCGACGACGCTGACCGCGACGACGAAGCCGACGACGCTGACGACGATGGCGACGGCGCTAACGAAGACGAGAATGAAGGAGACGATGACGACCCCGCCGACGACGCTGACGACGCTGACGACGATGTTGATGGCGACGACGACGATACCGATGACGACGACTCTGACGACGCTGATGACACCCAGGACGTTGTTGACGACGACGGTGACGCTGACGCCGACGCTGCTCACGACGACACTGACAACGACGACGACGACGCTGACGCTGACGACAACGACGACGCTGACGACGACGACGACGACGGTGACGGCGACGGCGGCGACGTCGACGAAGACGACCACGACAGTGACGACGCTGACGACGACAACGACGACGATGATGACAACGTCGATGGCGATGCTTAGGGCTACGACGACGGCGACGGCGACGGCGACGACGACGACGAAGCGACGGCGACAGTGACGATGACGGCGGCGACGGCGACGACGACAACGACGACGACGGTGACGACGATGATGACGACGACCACGTCGACGACGCTGACGACATCGATGACGCCGACGACCCTGACGACGACGACGGCGACGACGCTGACGACGACGACGACGCTGACGACGACGACAACGCCGCTGACGGCGCTAACGTCGCTGACGACGACGCTGACGACGACGACGCTGACGGCGACGACGACGCTGTAGACGCTGACGACGACGTCGTTGTCGACGACGATGGCGACGCTGACGACAACGATGTCGCTGACCACGACGACGATGACGCTGACGACGACGCTGCTGACGACGACGACGACAGCGACGACGACGCTGACGGCGACGACGACGACGACGCTGACGCTGACGACGACGACGGCGACGGCGACAGCAACGACGACCACGAAGACGACCACGACAAGGACGATGCTGACGACAACGGTAACGATAACGACAACGACGCCGACGATGACGCTGACCGTGCTGCTGACGACGACGACCACGCTGTCGACGACGACGGCGACGGCGACGGCGACCGCGACGACGACGGCGACGACGACGACGCTGACGACGACAACGACGATAATGCTGGCGACGCTGACGACGCTGACGAGAACGACGACGCCGTTGACGATGACGACACGGACGACGCCGACGACGCTGACGACGACGACGGCTGCGGCGACGAAGGGTGCCACGACGGCGATCGTGCGCGCTCGCGGGTCCGCGCAGGCGGAGGCCCTGCTGCGGTCGTTGCAGGCGCACGGCGCCGAGGCGGCCGCGACGGACGGCCGCGGCGCCCCGGGCGACGGGGACCCGGAGGGCGGCGGTAGTCGTGTGCCAAGGGGCGGGTGCAGACCTCCGATGTATCAAAGAATTCGACGCCAAGGTTTTTTTGTCGTTGTCTGTCACTGGGGGCCCCCGCGGGGTTCTGGGACGGTTCGAGAGAGAGCGACTCGGGCTGCAAAACCGCGCCTGGGGAAAGGGTTTGGACTTCTAGGGGCCCAGCATGGAAAAAATCAATACAGCGGGTTTCTTGGGATGACCAAATCGGGACCATTACGTGCATCCGGGAGCCCCGATCGCTCATGATGTCTTCGACGTGGCTTCCTGGCGAATGCGTGTAAGGCCCGCCCCTGGCTTACCCGCCCTGTTTGCCTCTGCCGAGTCGTCGTGGCCGCCACCGCCGTCGTCGGCGGCGGCGCCGGCGGTTTGTAGTGTTTTTGATGAGGGTTTTGGCTGTTTTTGCGCATTTTCGAAGGTCCTCGGCTCATGCTCGGGGGCTTTGCGGAGGCTCTCGAAGGTCGTCGTCGGTGTAATCTTTTGTCGATGCCGTCGTCGTCGTCGTCGTCGTCGTCGTCGTCGTCGTCGTCGTCGTCGTCGCGGGGCCGCTGTCGTCAACATTATCGTCTTCGCCGTCGCCGTCGCTGGCGCCGCGGAGGAGGAGGAGGAGGAGAAGGAGGAGGAGGAGGAGGAGGAGGAGGAGGGGTAGGAGGAGGAGGAGGAGGAGGAGGAGGAGGAGGAGGAGGAGGAGGAGGAGGAAGGGGGGGAGGAGGAGGAGGAGGAGGAGGAGGAGGAGGAGGAGGAGGAGGAGGAGGAGGAGGAGGAGGAGGAGGAGGAGAAGGGGGAAGGGGAGGAGGAGCAGGAGGAGGAGGAGGAGGAGGAGGACCAGTGTAGAACCAAGAGTCATCAGGGATGTTGTAATTCACCCTCCCTCCAAGCTCCCTCGTCATAGGCCCCCACAACGGTTCATTTCTATTGAGGGAGCTGCCTCGTTGGAAGACATCCGTTTGAAGATCCTGAAGCATGCCAAAACATTGTTCTCGGGATTTCAACGCCACGTACCAACCTGACTGCGGCGTCTTGACGATCGGGAATCGTGCCAGAGCGCCATTTTCGGAATTTCAACACCGCGAGCCAACATGACTGTTACACCCGCATGCTCCTGACTCATTCTGAAACCACTTCTGGTACGCTGATCATGGGAATCCGTGAAACCCTGGCAATTTTTTAAAGCGACTGTGCGCGGCAGTAAGGCGAGCGCCACATTTTGAAAAGGAGCCGCCCTGAATCCGTGAAGCTTTTGCAAAGTTTGAAAACGAATATGCGCGGCGCTAAGGCGAGAGCCACATTTCGAAACGGAGCCGCCCTCAATCCGTGAAACTCTTGCAACTATTGAAAATGAATGTGCGCGGCGCTCAGGCGAGAGCAACATTTTGAAAACCATCCGCCCTCCATATGTGAAGCTTTTGCAAATGTTTAACACGAAAGTGCGCGGCGCTAAGGCGAGAGCCACATTTTGAAAACCACCCGCCCTCAATCCGTGAGGCTCTTGCAAATTTTGAAAACGAATGTGCGCGGCGCTAAGGCGACAGCCACATTTTGAAAACCACCCGCCCTCCATATGTGGAGCTGTTGTCACTTCTGAAGTTTCCGAATCATACATGGTGAGGAAGTCTCAGGCGAAACGCCCAACCCATCCTAAACATTGGCCTCGGGGTGCGACAGGTAGGAGTTATCTATAAGGATAAGGAATGGAGGAGGATGATGAGGAGGAGGAGGACGAGGACGAGGAGGAGGCGGAGAAGGACGAGGAGGAGGAGACGGAGGAGGAGGGGGAGGGGGAGGAGGAAGAGTAGGGGGAGGAGGAGGAGGAGGAGGAGGAGGAGGAGGAGGAGGAGGAGGAGGAGGAGGAGGAGGAGGAGGAGGGGGATGAGGAGGAGGAGGAGGAGGAGGAGGAGGAGGAGGCGGAGGCGGAGGAGGAGGAGGAGGAGGAGGAGCCTCTTGTTTCCTTCTTTTCCCGTAGCTGTTCTCTGCTCCAGTTGTGTTGGACTCAGACTCGAGGAGGAGTCGGGAGGAGGAAGAGGGAGGAGGAGGAAGGAGGGAAGGATGGGGGAGCACTGGACCAGGCGAGCGAATGGGCGGGGCTGCAGTTGAGTGGCGGTCCGACGGGCCCCGCGCTCGGCCTCTTCGCCCCGCCAAGCCAGGACGACGCCGCCGGGGCCGCGCGCGGCCCGGGAGGCCTTGCGAGGCCGCCCCGCGGCGGCCCCGCTGGCCGCCCCCGTGTCGCCTTCGCGTGGGGGCTGCCCTCCGCTGCAGTGGCCTTTGATGCGGGCCCACGTGAGGTTCCAGTTTTTCGGGCGCCTTGGCGTAACGGCTGCCCTTCGTTGGGGTGACCTTTGGTGCGGGCCACCTTGCGGTTCGAGGCGTTCGGTGGCTTTCCAGCCTCGGGGTGCCTTCAGCAGCTGCGCCTCG